CTACTAGTAAGGCACTTGTTACTAGAAGCGATGCACTTGTTCCTAGTGGCTTCTTGTTACTACTCTAACCTCATCATTTTTCTTGGATGGCATCATCGGCTAAACTGTCAACGTCTTTGCGTCCTCCTCTGTGAGGTAGGTCCGAACGATGCCGGACTTTCCATCGCTCAAAAAAGAAGCTCAGTTCTAACAGCAACGGCTTCACCTCACGAAAAAATGCATCTGCAGCCGTAGCCTTCGCACTTAAAGTCTCTGTGCTGAAGTAGCGCTCGAAACTCTCTCTCTCACACTCTCTCTCCCTCTCTCTGTTTGCAACCAATCTAGGGCTTAGTAGAACTTTGAGTCTTCTACCGTCCGGTCGTTGGCAAACGCCAGCTTCGCCTGGCAACGAAGCTGCAGCCGACTGCAGAGTGCCAACGGCCAAGGCCTGCAGCTTGTGACCTGCCACTTTGATCGTGGATGGCTCCACGGTGTGGACCACGATGCCTGCGATTCCGTCTCTCTCTCTCTCCCGATGGCCTCCGACCCTACAAGCGATGGTCAAAGGCGCGCCGGCGGGAAATGGCCTGGTTCTTGTTTCACCTGGCGCCCAGCGACTCGCGACGGCGATTCGCAACTCGCGACGCATGCCTTGTCAATGTACTTCTGATATCTTCGGCAGAATGATCCTTGCCTTGGGTGTGGAAAGGGTGGAAGAAATCCTAAAAGATCCCAAGATCTACCAAGTCAGATCTACCAAGTCGTGGACTCACATGTTCGAAACTTGGATCTGTCCACGGCCAACGGGAAGCAAGCAAAACCTGCAGGTCCAGAGTCGAAACCATCTCTGCGGTGTACCAACGTAGCGATGGGCTCCAACCTAAGACGCGGAACCGCAAGATCCGGCCTGCGATCAACACTCCTCGCAAGATCCAGCCCATCTTGAAAACAGCTGCATCTGATCATGAAGCATGTCATGCGCCATACGCCGTTTTCACCCGGACCGCGGCACCCTTCGTATAATGAGTATGAACCTTCACGCTAGCACAAGAACACCGAACACCCGTTGCTTTTCTCGGGCCATCGTTCGCATCCGTTCAGATCGTCCGCATCCGCTTGGCTTCCGGCGGTCTGCAGGCGCCAAGCTCAAAGGTGAGCATACCATCACGTGGCTTAACGTGAGGCAAAGTCAATTGAAGTCGATAGTTCTCCGGATCGGTTGCGCCCTCGGTATTGATGATCAACACTTGGCTGTCCGCTCCTAAAGCCAGTGCTTCTCGCAAAGCTGTAGCAGTCTGACAGTTCGATGACATGATATGCTCCAGGAGCCCTAGGCACGCCAAAGGTTGAGCAAAATGAACAAACATCAAAAAAAAGAAGCACCCCCCAAAACAAAACGTGCCTAGTGCCTACTCTACTCTTTTCCAGGCACCTGCAGCAGCTCCGCCACATTCTCCTGCTTCGATTCCGTGCCGATGCAGCAGTCGCATGCCATTTCCGGCAATCTCGTCCTCCACACTAGTAGCACTACTAGTAGCTTCTTGTTCCTAGTAGTAAGAATGCTTCTAGTAGCGATGCCAGGAGCCCCTAGTAGCTTCTTGTTACTAGTAGTAAGGCCAGGAGCCCCTAGTAGCGTCCTCAACACTGACGAATGCCGAGACGTGTTCACGCAGGATGGGCCAAGCAATGCTCGATGGAACGCCACAGGCTAAACCTGCAATCATCGTGTCCAATTCGCCCGTCACCTCTGTAAGCTTTCCATCATTTCTCATGGATTCTAGTCCGCATGCGGCATTCTTCGGTTCAAGAACCAGAAATCGAGGCATTCGGTATCCATTACTCACTCTCAAGGCACTGAAGTGACCAACCACTGCGGCGGCCATGGAACCAACGCCCATCTGCAACAACACATGGCTGGGAAAATCCTCCATTGCTTCTAAAGACTCTTGGACCATGGCTGTGTAGCCTTGCATGATCCATTCAGGAATTTCAGTGTATCCCGGTGCAGTGGTATCCTGCAACACCACCCAACCTTTCTTCCTTCCTTCTGCAAAGGCCATCTCAACTGTATCATCATAGTTCAGATCTGTAATCTCTGCCTCTGCTCCTAGGTCCTTCACATGCTGCAGCCGTTGAAGAGCAGATCCCTTAGGCATGTAAACCACCGCCTTCTGCCCGAAGGTCTTGGCAGCCCAAGCAACACCACGGCCGTGATTCCCATCGGTTGCAGTCACAAAGGTCGTGATACCGAAACGCTCCGCGTATTGACGTTGGACGTCTGACACGTCCTGGTGCTCCTCAACCATCGGCAGCGCTAAACGCTTGCACATGAAGCGAAGCATGGCATATGCTCCACCAACGACCTTGAAGGCTTGCAAACCCAAGCGCTTCGATTCATCCTTCACGAAGAGAGAACCTAAACCTTCCAGGTGAAGTTTCTCTAAGGGTGTTGGTTCCAACTTCAGCACACGTCGCACCCTCTGCGACTCCTCTGGCCCAAAGGGTTGTCGAAGGGAGGGCGGAATCAAGGCGATCTGCGGTCGAACGAGGCGGTCGAACAAGGAGACGGCGCCGTGAGGGGTGATGAGGACAGTGTCACTGAGACCAACTCCTCCGTAGTCAGGAAGTTGAAGCCATGGAATCAAATGCAACACCATCTTCTCTTCAAAGACCTGCTCCGAACCAGGATCCATTCGAAAATGCTCGGCTTCACCCCAATCCGGATAAAAGCCAATGCCAATGGAGTAGCCGGAGCGTAGTGACATCGTGCCTTGCACCTTTTCCAATTCCCTTCGAGCTGCGCGATCAACGTCGCGTGCAACGGCTCCCGGTCGCATGAGATTCTTTGCAGTGTCCATTGCCTTCAAGACAGCAGCTTCTGCTTCAGCTAAGGCTTGAGGAAGAGCAGTTCCCACATAGCAGGACCGCATCAAAGCAGCGTGGTATCGCTCAAAACAGCCTCCAATCTCCAAAAACAAGAGATCGCCATCACGGAGGGCATGATGCCCAGAACCTGTGTAGTGGCCGATGCAACCATTCCGCCCCGCACACACAAAAGGCGGGTAGGCAGGATATTCACCGCCTTTTTCACACATCGCATGGTATATGTTCCCCGCAATCTGTGACTCTGTCATATGCACCGTGGAAGACAGCCCCGCTTGGACCCCAGCTGCACAAATTTCAGCCGCACGCTTCATAATCGCTATCTCTGCAGGAGATTTGATGAGACGATGCTTTGGAATGAGACTGGAACAATCCACGAAATTGCAAGACAGTCTCGATTCCAAGATCTGTCGCTGAGCGGCAGTCAATCGACGCGATGTCATTTCAAGTCCCGCCGTTTTGATGCTGGGGCTTTCTCGCATGATCACGTTGCAAAGCTTGGAAATGCCGCTTTCATAATCAACATACACCTCCCAGTTCGTCCGGTTGAAATTGGAACACAAAAGAGAACACCCCAAAACATGTGAGTGCTGTAAACAAAAAATGTTCTTTCTGGTTCTCTTCTTTAGACTCTAGACCTCATCTGTCCTTTCTAATTTAAAATGTTTGTCCTTTTGTTTTTTTTCTCGTTTTTTGTTTCGGACTTCCGCCTCCAATTGATCTGTCCTGAGATTGCTGCGAGATGCATTGCTCACCTCAAGCTGTCGCGTCACAAAATAACTTTTGTCGGTCGCGTCAATCATGAGAGCCTGTACTTCTGGAGAGCCAACTGTTTGGTAGCCGGTCATGTAGTATATGTTCTCCGGCTCGGTGATAATCAACAGATCAACCTTCCTGGCCAAGCTGGACTGATCGAAAGCGATCTTAGGTCTGCGTGCCAAGAGATTGGCGCATCACAAAACAAGTACATCTTTGCCCCTAAGGGAGCAACATACATCAAGAAATCCCGTTAGTACAGATCCCTAGACTCCAGAGCGATTGTGTTGAGACATTTCTTGGTCCACGGACCATGTGTTTCGAGGGTCGAATGTTGAACTACGTTTAAACGCACCAGGTCGTCATCTCAATTCACATTCAACGGACAGGCTAGCGGCTAGCGGCTGGTGACAGGCCTGTGTTTCTTGCATCCTGCCAGGTCTTACCACTTTACCATCCAAATGGCTAAGTATCCTTGAGCCAATTCAGCTCCAACTTCGAAGCCTCCAACCTAGCCAGGCTAAGTATCCTTCGCCCCTCAGTCGGGTCCTTCCGGCCTTTCTGCCATGGACCGCTGCACCGAAGCCAGCCGCGCGGCATACTCGTCCGGCGCGAAGGGTGGATGCAAGTTCGGAGGACCCAGGGGTCCCACCATGGCGGATCCGAGGACAGGTGACAGGTATAGTGCCCCCTTCCCTTCTGAGGAAAAGGGGCGAATCCGGGCCGTTGGATCGTAAAGACGGGCTTCTGTTTCAATCTGGCCGGATCTGGCCGGGTTCCCCATGTCCAGTTTACAAAGAAATGGCTATCCAAAAACATCTGAAGTATATAATATCTGTTGCACCGGAGCACCATGGTTGCGGAGGCTAACTTGTCTACTAAATGTGACTATGTCGTCTATTTGCATCTTTGGAACACTTGTCAAAGAGGAAGGCTGGGCCAACGGGTGGGGTCAGATTGGAAATGGGTGAAAATGACCAGGCCCGGCGAGGTGTTGCAAAGTTTGAGAAGCGCCAACCGGAATCCAATCCGTGGCACCAATGATTAACATATCGATATTGGACCGGTCGAAGTACCTTTGTTTATTGGCCAGGGACGATCCATAGACGCCACTGAAATCCAAGTGTTCCCGAAACCTGTCCCAGCAATTGTAGAGCAAACATGTGTCGGGCAGCAGGCTTGAAAACCAAATGCAAAACAAAGAAGGCTCAGCTTCAAAAACAATCAACAACCTCAACAAATGTAAATTACGGAGAGACTTACTTCATGTTGTTCCCTGCGGAAGCTGACAGAAACTGGAGTTCTTTTCGGAGGCGCCATCTCTTGCATTCTTAGTTAGGTGAAGCCATGAATGCGGAGGGAATACTGGAATAAAAGCAACCCAACCCAACCCATCCAACCCGAACTGCCAAACTCTCGGCTTCACATGGCCCGTTTTTGGCACAGCGGAAGCTCACAGGCTTCACAGACCAGTCCCACCACCTGTGGGTTCAGTGAGTTGCCCAGCAATCCCCACAGTTCGCGAGCTCGGGATCCATCCATCGGCAGTCGAAAGGGCAGGCATCGGCACCCGGATCGGCCGGATCCCCCAGTCGATCCGCCCGATCGCTCACGGTCGACACATCTGGGAAGACAGTGGTGCTCCCGATCGGCGGAGTTTTCCTCGCCCAGCTTAAAGCCCATGAGACGGGCCACCTCCGTCGGAGAGAAATAACGAAGCTTGCCGTAGAACTCCTGCATGGAGTAGGATCCTGGCTCTTTAGAGGAGTTGGCCAGCACCTCCTCTGATACGAAAACGCTGCCTGTGCCATCGATATATCGGCCATATGCCTTGGTGAAGCACAACGAATGACAACAACTGCCATACACCACGTCGAAGCAGCGAGCCGCCTCCTGCAGCTCGGAGCATGGCAAAAATATGCAAAAATCACAAAGACATCCCCCTGGAGCGTTGAATTTGGTGGTTTCAGTCAGAACAATGTTGCAACCTCTGAGATCCTCTGCACAATGTGACTCTTTTCATCACCCCTGTCCTTCTGCAAGATCTTCTCTGGCACCAACCATTCGACGCATTCGATGCATTCGCTGCGTGTGTCGACGAACTCGGCGACCGATGACACCGGGTAACATCGCTGACCGCCGTCGTGCGCAGCGTCCGGAGCGGTGCGCCCACATGATGAGCAGCGACTTCGAGCTTCGTTCGTCTCGGAGGTCCAGTCGAGGTGACAACATGACAAGCTTTGCCAGGGCCTTAGCCAGGCCAGCCGATGCGGCTACTAGGATGGAGGTCAAACACTCTCAGTTGTAAGGACAAGGCAATTCTGGCAAATCAGGATTATCTGACTGGGAAGGTGGAACACGTCCAAAGGCGCAAGACGTGTGCTTCGCAACCTCAAGTCACGCCACATCCACGTCATCAAATGAGACTGCAAACACCAAACAAGCACCACCCTTTGCTACCTCAGACTTATCAACCATAGCACTTCCGTTGTTATTGGGTTGGAGGCCATCGCTAGTAGGTTGGGGGCCATCGCTAGTAGGTTGGGGGCCATCGCTAGTAGGTTGGGGGCCATCGCTAGTAGGTTGGGGGCCATCGCTATTAGGTTGGGGGCCATCGCTATTAGGTTGGGGGCCATCGCTAGTAGGTTGGGGGCCATCGCTATTAGGTTGGGGGCCATCGCTGGTAGGTTGGAGGCCATCGCTAGTAGGTTGGGGGCCATTGCTATTAGGTTGGAGGCCATCGCTAGTAGGTTGGGGGCCATCGCTATTAGGTTGGGGGCCATCGCTATTAGGTTGGGGGCCATCGGTATTAGGTTGGGGGTCATCGCTTCTAGGTTGGAGGCCATTGCTATTAGGTGGAGGCCATTGCTCTTAGGTTGGGGGTCATCGCTTCTAGGTTGGAGGCCATTGCTATTAGGTGGAGGCCATTGCTAGTAGTAACTCAAAATAGGATTGTTTAGTTTAATAAATAGCCCTTGGATTGCGTCATGGTAGTTCGGACTGCTGCAGAAAGTGAGGGATCAGGCGTGGCATTCCACACACACACA